CATATGCAAATATCTATCATACAGGATTCTAACAAGTATTTTAATATCCCTTGGATAGGAAGAGGACTACTGTATATGTCATCCTTCTCTAATTGCAACCAAACACTGAATACTTTTAAGTACAAATGTCCATTGGCTGGGCCAGGTCATAAGGTCCAGCACGGGCTATTCCTTTAGGGAGAATCCTGTGTTGGTTGGTTGGTTAACTGGTTAGTTGAAAACCATAAACATGCATTTAGAAGTCATAGAATTTTAGAGTTCATAAACACATAGATTTTCAAAAACTGCAAAGGTTCTTGAAGACCATCTATCACCTTCATTTTACAGTAGAAAAATCTGAGACTCAATAATATGACTTTCCTGAGGTCATATAGCTAGTATGAGGACAGAAACAGGACTCAAACCCAGGTCTTTAGACTCAATGTTCAGGACTCACACTGACTTTGCAATTACACATAGAGATATGTATCCTTTCATCCCTAAAATATTTCCCTGTCTCAGGAAGCTAAAACTCCTGCAGGGAAGTTGGGGTGGGGGAAAGATGAGAGAAATAAAACTGTTTACTTGAAAGCCGATCCTCTGTCTAGCATAGATTCAGATCCTATGATAGTATAGAATTAATTGTAGGTCTTCTTGTTGTTCAGTCTTTCATTTGTGTCCGATTCTTTGTGACCATAGTATATCACGCCTTTTTATCCTCCACTATCTCCAAAAGTTTGTCCAAACTCATGTTTGTTGTTTCCATGACACTATCTATTCATCTCACCTTCTGCCATTCCCTTTTCCTTTTGCCTTCAATCTTTCCCAACATCAGGGTCTTTTTAATGAGTCCTGTCTTATTATACGGCCAAAGTATTTAAGCTTTAGCTTTAGTATTTGACCTTCCAGTGAGTAGTCTGAACTAATTTCTTTAATTATTGATGGATTTGATCCCCTTGCTGTCCAAGGAACTCTCAAAAGTTTTCTCTAGCACCAAAATTCAAAAATGTTCACTCCACGGTGCTCAGCTTTCCTTTAAAGTCCAGCTCTCACAGTCATACACTGTTACTGGAAAAAAATATAGCTTTGACTCTACAGTCCTTTGTAAGAAAGGTTGATGTCTCTGCTTTTTAGTATACTGTCCAGATTTGCCATAGCTTTCCTTCAGAGGAGCAGGTATCTTTTAATTTCATGGCTGCAGTCACCATCTACAGTGATCTTTGAGCCCAAGAATATAAAATCTGACACTGCTTCCATTTCTTCTCCCTCTCTTTGCCAGGAATTGATGGATTCAGTTGCCAAGATGCTAGGCTTCAAGCCAGCTTTTATATTCTCCTCTTTCACCCACATCAAGAATTTCTTAATTGTTCACTTTCTGCCATCAGAGTAGTATCTGCATATCTGAGATTATTGATATTTGTCCTGGCAATCTTAATTCCAGCTTTTTATTTGTCCAGTCCTATTATTAAATAAACAAGGTGACGATGCACAGCCTTGTTGTACTTCTTTTCCAATGTTAAACCAATAAGTTGTTACATGTTCAGTTCTAACCTTTGCTTCTTGGCCTGCATACAGGTTCTTCAGGAGACAAAGTAAGCTGATCTGGTATGCCCATCTCTTTGAGAGATGCTCTATTCTAAAATTTCAGCCTCAGGGATCTTTGCTACTGTCCTATGACTAGAGAGTAGGTTGACAGTCTTTCCTAATAGCTTCACTGATTTACATATTCTTTTATGTGACACATCAGGATATTTGATATCCTCTGAGGAACATTGGATCATTATATAAACAGCTATATAGGTGGCGCAGTGAATAGAGCACTGGGCTGGGAATCAGGAAGATTCATGTTTGTGAGTTCAAATCCTGCCTCAAGCACTTACTAGCTGTGTAACCCTAGGAAGTCACTTCACCCTGTTTGCCTCAGTTTCCTCATCTGTAAAATGAGCTGGAGAAGGAAATGGCAAACCAACCCAGTATCTTTGCCAAGAAAACCAGAAATAGGGTCACGGAGAGTTGGACAGGACTGAAACAACTCAACAACAATGAACTTCCAAGTTATTTTATTTGTATATTATATAAAATGAATAGATTCACTTAAGTCAGTCTGGCAATAAGCATTTATTAAGTACCTGCTATGTGCTAAGTACTGGGGATACAGAAAGGGACAAAAGACAGTCCTTGCCCTCAAGGAGCTCACAGTTTGATGGAGGAGGCAATAAGCAAACAAATGTGTGCAAGCAAGCTGTATACAATATAAATAGGAAATAATTGAGAGGGGAAAGGATTACCAGGATCAAGAAGTATTAGGAAAGGCTTCCTATAGAAGGTAAGATTTTAGTTGGGACCTAGAAAGACCTAGGGAAGCTAGATGAAGCAGAGATGAGAAGAGAGCATCCCTGGTGTGGGGAACAGCCAAAGAAAATGCCCAGAGCCGAGAGATAGTTTCTTGTTCATGGAACAGCAAGGAGGCCAGTGTCTCTGGATTGAAAATTACATGATGGAGAGTAAGGTGTAAGAAGACCGGAAGGGGGTTGAGGGTTGGGCCTAGTTTATGATGGACTTTGAGTGCCAACCAGGGCATGTTATATTTGATGTTGGAGGTGAAAGGAAGCTACTGGAGCTTATTGAGCAAGAAAATGATATGATCAGATTCTGTACCTTAGGAAAATCACTTTAACAGCTGACAGTATTGGAGTTGGGAGAAACTTGTGGCAGGTAGATCCACTAGCCAGCTATTGAGTAGTCCAAGTTTGAGGTGTTGGGGTCCTACACCAGGGGTGTATTAGAGAGATGATGCAAAGGTGAAATCCACAGACCTTGACAACAGATTGAATATAGCAAAGGGAGGAGGTAAGAGACAGTGAGGAGTTGAGGATGACACCTAGGTTGCGAGCCTGGGGCACTGGGGGGGGGGGGGGTGATGGTGCCCTTGACAGTCATAGGTTTAATTTAGACTAGCATGAACATAAAACGAGTCATTTTTTGGAAAGTCAGATATACAAAGCATACCAAATACATTTTCACTGTATTTTCCCAAGCATTCTGCGTTTAGAAATGCAAACTGCTATAATGAGTATGATAGTATTGCCCAAGGCTAAAACATCAATTAAAGGTTTTACTAATCATGCTTATTAAAAGGGAAACCATAAATATGCATTCTTCAATATATAATAATATAATAGATCTAAGAACAAGTTAATTCTAGAATCATTAAGACTATCCTAATCTCAAAGTTTTAGTGGTAAAGTGTGAATTTCTTAGGCAATATTGCTGATCTAATGTATGCTTTTTCCCTGATGATTTTGAACAATGCTATAATGAATATTCATAGAAATTTCAGTCTCTTAAAAGATTCATTTTTACTTCTTTGGTTTTTGCCGATTCTTCTGTTACAAAGAAAAAAAAAGATCATCTGTGATAATTTGTCTTAAGCTTTCATTCTACTGTTTTGATTCAACGTTATTTCATAGTATTTTGGGCCAAATATTTTCATCTTATGCAACTTGGCTGAAATTTTCAGGTCATGGTGATTCAGGTTTCTGTTCCAAATATCCCCTTTCCCATTTACCTCCAATTAATCAGAATCCAGAAGGTTTGAAAATGACAAAAATGCCAAATGGTCAGACCAGAGAAGTGTAGCCTTAGGGGCTCTAAATGACCTGATTCAGAACTACTCTGTGACTCTCAAAATTCAACAATTATCCATAATTGCTTGTTATGTACAATCAAAGCTCTCATAACTGTATGCTGGAATTGTGCACCTAAAAATAGCAGAATGGAGATGGTTATTTTTAGGTAAATAGCTCCAGCAAACAGCAGAGAAGAGTTGTCCTTCTGCAAAGGTGTCCTCTCCAAGTTAGCAGTGCCTTCTGGACCTTCACCTTCCATTGTTGCCGAGACAATGGCAGTAATGAGAGGTCTGAGCTGACCTGTCTGAGAGAGAATGCCCTTGTTTTAAACACTATTTTCAGGAACCCATGATTGACCAACCTATAATTTACATTACCACACTACATAATAGGGAAAGATCAATCAGCAAGCATTTATTCAACACTTAATGTGGGCCAAGCACTGTGCTTGGTGCAGAGGATATAAATACAAAGAACAAAACAATCCATTTTCACAGGGAACTCACATTCTAATGGTGAAGACAACAAGCACATATATAAAAATACATATGGAAGAAATGGGACTAGGGATGACAGGACTTGTGATTTTATTCACATGTAGGTAGCTACTAGGTAGGGAATCATTCACAATGCAGATCTGAACCTATTCTGAAACGTATAGTCTTAGATAGTTGTCTAGATTACTGAGAAGTTAAGTGACTTGCCCAAGGTCATAGAATCATTATGTTTAAGAAGTAAAACTTGAACACAGCTTTGCCAGGCTGCAGGCAGCTCTCTATCCACTATACCATGCTGCCTCTTGCTAAATAAACCTGAAGTGAATAAATACAAATAAATGCTAAGTAGTTAAATGTTTGAGATGATGAATACTACCTCTTGGAGGGTATGAGACAGAAAAGGGAGATCAGGAAAGGCTATATGAAAAAGGTGGTACTTGAGCTTTGTTAGAAGGAAGAAAAACAATCTGTAGCAGAGTTGAGGGGCAATGCATTTTAGGTCTGTCAATAGCAAATGCAAAGGCAGGGAGATGGGAGATAGAGTAGCTTATGTGAGGAACAAAGAGAAGGCCAATGTGATTGGATGATAACAGAGTGCAGGTTGAAGACTTAATATCCAGTGAGCCTGGAAAGCTAGATTGGGAGCACATTGAGAAGGGCTACAAAAACTAAACAGATTATATTTTGTCCCAGAGGAAATAGGAAACCATTGGAGTTGATTGAATTGGAGAGTGACTTGGACAGATCTACATTTAAGGAAGATCGCATTGGCAGTAGTTTGTAGGATGGAATAGAGAGGAGATGAGTACAGTTATAATAATGTCAAATTATTTGTGTCACAGATTTCCTATCTACTTCTCTTGAGAAATTAATGAGCAACTCTATTTTGTTTCAGCAACAGGAACAAGATCCTACAAACCTGTATATTTCTAATTTGCCACTGTCCATGGATGAGCAAGAACTTGAAAACATGCTCAAGCCATTTGGACAAGTGATCTCTACAAGGATACTGCGTGATTCCAGTGGTACAAGTCGCGGTGTTGGCTTTGCCAGGTATGTTGTGGTTTTCTTTTTTTTTCTGTATGTTTCATTGTTATATCTGCTGTTTTATGTACCTTAAGGAAATAAAACATTACCTTGTTAGATGTTTCAAAGGAATAACTAGAAAAGCACTAAGGAAAAAAGGGAGGGGGAGAAGCACAACTAAATGCAGTGGGGCACTAATTTTGACTTTAAAATGTTTCTGTATGTTCTCAGATATTTTAAAATTTTCCAACAAGACTTTTAAATCTGAGAAGGCAAAGTGTTTTGGAGGCCACACTGGTGAAAAGTTTCCTAAAAGTAAATTGTTATATCAATTAAAAAGATGGTCATCATGAAAACACACACACACACACACACATTTCAGATAACTTTTTTTCCTGTTTAGTGGATAGAAATGTGTCAGCAGTAATAATAGCTCACCTTTGTGTAGCATTTTAAAGTTAGGAAAGCAGTTTGCATGCATTCTTAGATTTTCATTTAAGCCTCATAGCAACCTTGTAGTACTACAAGTATGAATGAACCCATTCTAAGGAGGTAGAAATTGATGCTCAGAGTGGTCAAGTGACTTCATCGTGTTTACACAGATAGGAAGTTCAGAGGTAGATTTTGAACCCAGATCTCCAAATCCAGCACTCTATCCACTATGCCTTGTTGCCTCTCAGTTAACTTTTTATAAAACATTTGGTACTTGCCAGGTGTGCTGCCGCAACCCTATAATTCCGGCTACTATGGAAAGTGAGATTAGTCTGTACTTGAGCTCAGGAGTGCTGGGCTGCAGTGGGGTAAAGCCATTCAGGTGTCTCAAATAAGTTTGTCACCACTATGGTGAACCACTGGGATACCATTTCACTAAGGAGAGGTGAGCCCAGTTTGGAAAGGAGCCGGTCAAAGCTCCCATGCTAATCAGTAATGGGGTGGAACCCGTGAGTGTTCACTGCTTTTCCAGTCCAGGGAAAATAAGGCGACTGAGTCTCAATAAAATAAAGCAAAGTAAAATAAGTAAAAGAACTGATTCCTTATGATGAAAATGTAAATAGAATTCTTAAGAAAAATTATTAAGATGAGAAACTTGAATTTTTACATCATTTAGCCCAAATATAACTTTCTATAATGTGTAAGGAAACTCTAAAGCCACCCATTAATGTTATCAAATAGTGAATAAGGTCTCCATTTTTTGGAATACTCATTTCATTGTTGGAGAGAAGCCTAGTATTTATGTTATTGGGAATTGAGATGGGATTAGTATAGATTCATTAGCTCACTTTGTTTTAGCACATGTTGTTCAGGTAGTGTGGGTTTGGTTCACGGTTCAGAAAAGTTATTGCAGCATTATCAAGGAATCAGGAAAAAAAAAATTGGACATGCCCCATCAATTCAATGACACCATTGAGAAACAACCAACACTTTGATGGGGCTAGCAGAGCCTATGCCAACGGATCCTTTGGGACTTGGAGGAGCTTTAATTTTGGTCAGTGCACTTAATCCCTCTACTGATACAGATGGACCTCCAGATATAACTTAATAGATGGCCTTCCAGAATTGTTGTGGCTGCTCAATTCATCACCTGTGGCCAAACTGGTAATGAGTCTATGTGAACTTAGTTTCACTAAGGGTAATTATAGAAACCAGAAGTTCTCCCTGTGTGGTCTGTGCACTGCTGGGGGTTCCCAAGTCTGTGTGATCAAAACTATTTCTGTAATTATACTAAAATGTTATTTGCTTATTAAAATAATCCCCCCCTTTTCTAACTTCGTGTCTGTAAGTTAGATTTCTTCATATACAATATAAACAATATAGTGCAACAGATTAAATAAAGAAGTCATATGAGAATCCATCTCTTCTCCATTAATCCAGACATTAAAGAAATTTGCAAAAATAATGCCACTTTCTCACAGTTTTTAAGAAAAGGGGTTTTTTTCTTTAAGTTAAGTTGTAATGGATTTGTCATTGTTACTCTAAATTAATACATTTTTTTAAATTTTAATATGGTGAATATTGATAGATATAACCTACATGATAAATAAAAGCTCTCTGGGGCCCCAAGTATAAAAGGATCTTAAGAATAAAAAGTTTGAAAACAACTGATACCAATTTTCAACACATACCAATTTTCAAAGAATTCAAATACAATGAATATAATTAATGCTACAAGTACACTGGATATAAATTAATATTTATTATTTTAAAGGTGCATTGGGCTCATCAGTTGGAAATAGCAATTATTTTTATATGTGTGCATGAATATTAATTTAATAGGCTTTAATATTATAAACTACCAAATAAACCAGCTTTTATTATATTAGAATTACATTTTACCAGTGTATGCCTATTTATACTTAATGGCATTCACATATGCACAAAACAGAATGAAAAATAAAAGGATATCTAAATATTTATAAGTGTTTTGTATTTATATATCAATAGGATGGAATCAACAGAAAAATGTGAAGCTGTTATTGGTCATTTTAATGGAAAATTCATTAAGACACCCCCAGGAGTTTCTGGTATGTTAACCTAAAATTTTATCAGCAACATCTTTTATACTTCCATACATATCCTTGATAATAGATTCTTCTGCATGCAATACGTTAAGTAAATTTAGGTATATATTTTTAAAGCTGCTTGTTTTGAACTATCAGATTTTTTTTAAAAATCCAATTATTAGATCTGTTTTATTAGTGAAAGTATACCCTAGTTTTATCATATTTCTATTTATTTTCATTCCTTATTACCGCCACTACGGTGCTCTTTATAATACATGCAACCTCTTAGTGGCACAGTGGATAGAGCAAAGGACTGGAGTCACGAAAACCTGAGTTAAAATTCAGCAGCAGACATTAGGTGTGTTACTCTGGGGAAATCAATTAACCTTTATGTGCCTCAGTTTCTTCATCTGTAAAATGACAATAATAGCACCTACCTCACAAAATTGTTGTAAGGATCAAATGAATTCATGTATATAAAGTGCTTGATATGTAGTGCTAGCTATTATAATCCCACTTGAGAGTTTTTGTTTCTAATTAATGAGAAGAAAAGTTCAAAGGTCATCTGCATCGCATATTTTGATGGCAACTGTCATGCTGCTTGTTACTCAAGGGTCCTAAAATGGTTCTAATTTTCCTTAATTTCAGTCTTTTTACTGTTCAGTGTGAGATATTGATTCTCAGGATTTGCTTATAACTTTCTTCATACAGCTGACTGGGTCTTTATCAATTGCTATATATATCACTGTCAAATATACTAATTGTTACCATTTAGCAGATTCCTTTTGCCCCTACCCAGGTATCTTCAATAAGAATGTAATACCTCTATTGAGCACGTGTTGGGTAGTTGCTAGTATGACTAGACCTGAGTAATATTAAATGCATTTTAAAAAAAAAAGCAAACACTGATGTTTTTTGGTTTTAGTGAACCCAAGATTATTAAGTAACTTTTGAAAAAGTTAAGTTCTGGGCCACTTTAATTTTACTAATCCAACTAGTATAGCATTTAAAGGGTCCTATTTCCATTTTCAGTGAAGAATGTAGGGAGGTATTGAACTCTACTGAAGAAAAGAGATTCAAATTATTTGGGCCAAAAGTTATTGAAGTGAGAAATATTTATAGCACCTCTTTTTGTGGTGGCAAAGAATTGGAAATTGAGAGGATGCCCATCAATTGGGGAATGGCTGAGCAAATTGTATATGAATGTGATGGAATACTATTGTGCTATAAGAAATGATGAACAGGCTGACTTCAGAAAAACCTGGAAAGACTTGTATGGTCTGATGCTGAGTGAAGTGAGTAGAACCAGAGAACATTGTACACAATAACAGCCACATTGTGTGATGACTAATATTGATAAACTTAACCCTTCCTGGCAATACAAGGATCTAAGACATCTCCAGAGGTCTTGTGATAGATAATGCTATCCACACCCAAAGGAAGAACTACGGAAGCTGAATTGCTATTTTTTTTTCTCTTCTGTTGAGTTTTGTTTCCTCTTTCTGATGGTTCCTCCTATTGGTTTTAATTTCTACTTACAACATCACTAATGTGAAAATATGTTTAATATGAATGTAAATGTATAGCCTATATCAGATTATGTGCCATCTTGGGGAGGGTGGTGGGGAGGAAGGGGGAGAAAAATTTTAACTCAAAAGCATATGGAAGTGATTATTGATAAATCAAAATAAATTAATTTAAAAAAAGGGGAAAAAAGTTATTAAAGTGAGCAGTCATTCCTAGGATATTCATGTACAATTGTTTTTCAGTGTTTATTTTGTTAACTCTCCTAGGCTCAGTTCCAGCTGAACTATCAGTAACTGGAGTTAGGGATCCACATTAGGAATTTCAATATCCCAATGAGTTTCATTTCAGAAAGAAAATAATTTCTGAACATCTAAGTGACACAGACCACTCTTGGCCATGAAACTCTGAAATGTACTGCAACGTATACTTTATGATCCACTATGTTGAGCTCTGTGGCTACAGGCACAAGTCTAAAATATAAATTTTTTTTAAAACATTTAAAAAATTTAAAAAAACACTTAGAAAAATAAAGTATTTACCGCTATTTAATAGTTTCAGTGAACACTATGTCATAAAATAGCTTTAATTAATAAATGAATAAAGAGAGTCAACCATAAGCATATTTCACCATCAACAGTGATTGTATTTAAAGTAAGAAAATAAAAATTTGGTTTTGCATATTTTAAAATTAGCCAACCAAGGTTCAGTAACAGAAGAGTATAAAAGCCAGGGTTGTAAGACTGGAAGCTTTTTCAAAATACACCAAGCCCCTCAGTTATACAAATTTGAAAACTAAAATAAATTGAAACTCTCCTTTATCAAAGTAGTAGGTAGCATACAGTAGGCATTTAATAAATGCTTGTTGATCTATTGTGTTTGTTGATATACCTGCAGTACTCTACCTAAGTTTACTCTTTGATGACATAATTTCTTTATTCTTTAGCTTTCTCCTCTTACTCTTAATATTTATGGAGCTAGAAGAATTTCGGAGGACGTGATTTGAATCATGTGCTGTTTTGTTTTGTTTTTGCAAGGCAATGGGGTTAAGTGACTTGCCTAAGGTCACACTGCTAGTAAGTGGCAAATGTCTGAGGCTGGATTTGAACTCATGTCCTCCTAACTGCAGGGCCAGTGCTCTATTCACTGTACCACCTGGCTGCCCCTACCCCTTTTTTTAATTGAATCATGTTTTGTGTCACAATGAAAGGACAGTTAGTTGTCTGCTCTCTGAGTGGAGTGGGCAGCGGCTAGTTGGGTCCAGGGATAGGATGAAGAAACTGAACAGCTTTCCATTCTTCCCTAAATCATGTCTTCACAGGGCCATTTTATTGTTAGAAATTAATTGCTCTAACATCAGACAGAAGCATTTTAAAACATAAGCATAAAAACACATTAATTTCAAAACCTGACGTAAATTACTTCTGGATTATTAACACCACTGCATATAGTAAATTATATTATTATTCTGAGTTTCCCAAGAAGCAGATTAATAGCAAGTACACCAAAAGCATTTCAATGGCAGTAACTATGTTTTGTAAACAGTCAAGCCATTCTGTCACCTCTGAACTCTTACAGACTGTTGTGGTCTGCAAGAAACAATTTACTTCTTAATTGCATACTGCTTTGCAATGCAGACAATCTGTTCATATGTTTTAGTTTTGTCTCCTCAATTTGAATGTAAGCTACTTTAAGGTAAAAAGCCTGTAACTTCTTTTCTATCCCTAGAGTGTTTATAGCACCCTATTAAACACATAAGGGATATTTAATAAATGTTTGTTGATCAATGGATGGATTAACTTGAAATCTTCCATATACTCTACCAGTTAAAATTACAAAGTTGTCTTCAGCCTGCAGAACATACTATAATAACCTAACCTGGAGGTCATGGAATCATACATAATTAGAAGGTCCTTTTAGTAACTTCCATTTTTCTCCACCCGAAACAAGCACTTTTT